AGCACACTGTGCCCACTTAAGTATATACACAGGACTGACTTTGGATACATAATTATTGCAAAAAATTCACCAATTTCACATGCTCAAGAAAAAAATCTAAGAATTTTACTGAAAACAGAGTTACATGTGACGTATACCAAGCAAACATTTTCGACTATTTAAACCAGTTTTATCCCACAGAACATTCGTAGACAACGTTAGAATTATGGAAGTGCTTCCCGGAGCCAACTTCTGGCAGAAAGGTGGATTCACGGGTCCAAACATCTGGGGATCTGGTGAGAAGATGGCTCCATTCGACAAAGACGTAAGAGTCAATTCCTTTATATTCACTTTGAATGTCATTGCTACTTAATATAACTGCACAAATTATCAGAGTAATTTTGTTATCATGCTGTACCCAGGCTAATCTGAAAGCCTAATTCCGTTTAAAATGTCTAGCGAACTTCAAAGGAAAAACCGCAATGCATTTAGCATTAAATACATAATCTCGAAACCTGCAGCTTATTTTCGGATATTGTCATGACATTTCTTTTCTCTAATGTTGCTTTCCAATCTTCTCCCTCCTTCAGTTCTACATGATCTTCAACGTTGCCGTCGGAGGCACCAATGGTTTCTTCCCTGATGGCATCAACTACGGAGTCAGGAAGCCATGGGCCAACAACTCTCCTCACGCCGCTGAAGATTTCTGGAATGCGCGTAACGAATGGCTCCCGACCTGGCATGGGGATGAGGCGGCCATGTTGATTGACTGGGTCGAGTTCAGACATTTGTAAAAAAAAAAAAATGTATTTAAATATATAACTTTTTTTGTTTAAGTTTTATGAAAATAAACTAAACAGGTCAATGGAAAAGAATGTTGTGAATATTTTTTATAAAAAAATTGTAATTATAGACTTTAAAAAAAAAGCTTCTTCTGACTTATTTTATTATTAAAATGTACTATGTTTATTGTTTATGTTATTGATCAAAGCCAGTCTAATATGTATCGGTTTGCTATGTTATCAAATTAAGCTTCTTGAAATATTCAATGAAATAGTTTTAAATGAAAGTCAGCCTTTAAAATCAAGTGTAGTTGGCAAGCATGTTGACACTCTGTTGTCAAGTTGGCTGTGCGCCTCTCAGTGATCTATAATGGCCTTGTGCTAAGCTAGCTGTGCACCCCTCGGTGATCTATGACGGCCTTGTGCTAAGCTAGCTGTTCACCCCTCAGTGATCTATGACGGCCTTGTGCTAAGCTAGCTGTGCGCCCCTTGTGACCTATGACGGCCTTGTGCTAAGCTAGCTGTGCACCCCTCAGTGATCTATGACGGCCTTGTGCTAGGCTAGCTGTGCGCCCCTCAGTGATCTATGACGGCCTTGTGCTAAGCTAGCTGTGCGCCCCTCAGTGATCTATGACGGCATTGTGCTAAGCTAGCTGTGCGCCCCTCAGTGATCTATGACGGCATTGTGCTAAGCTAGCTGTGCACCCCTCAGTGATCTATGACGGCCTTGTGCTAAGCTAGCTGTGCGCCCCTCAGTGATCTATGACGGCCTTGTGCTAAGCTAGCTGTGCGCCCCTTCACAGAGACGTAAACAGCATTTAAACTGAAAGTTGATGTGGGTTGGGGGGGGAGGTTTGTTTCACCAGGGTTCTTAAAGCCGGTTGAGGGGGAGGGAGGGGGGCGGAGTTGCCTTTGAACACACTTGATCTGATTATCATACCATCATCAGGAATCAGTTCATACACGCCGTGGCAAAACTATCACAGTAGCCAAATGTCACTGTGATCATTGTGTCAATGTAGCGAATCCATGCAACACAGTGTGTGATTACCACAATCAGTGATTATAAATAGTTTCATAGCAGGAAATGGAGCTTAAAAATATAATAAAAAGATTAAGGCGTTTCAGTGTGCATTAAAATAATAAAATAAAAAAATAATTATAAAAACAAAAAAATAATAATCACGAAGGCCTTTTTGACATTTTATTTGACCTTAATGAAGGCGCACACGCCATAGTTGAAGATGGAGGTTTAACTAGGTACATAAATAATAAAAAAGATACAACAAATGTTACGTTAAGGCTATCCCTCAATGGCAGATTCTGTTTTAATCTGCAAGCGATTTAAAAAACACGACCTGGTAAGATAACGAAGATCTTCTATCTATATATTTAGATCACATAAAGTTCATTAGGTGATTACCTAGCTTGGCACCGGCCTCTGTAAATCATCCCCGTGGCGCTTCAGCCCATGTAGGACTTTGGCCTTCTTCATCACTTCCTTCCACTCAGATCTGATACTTTTCTTTATCATGCTTGATTTCCAACATTGTCAATCCTTTTCTGCCTTTGAGCAGTTTTCTTCTGGGGATTTGGTGGTGCACCCCTTTCACTCCTCGGTCATTTGGCATTCTTTATAATTGTCCAGACCAGCGCATCCAGCGTAAAAAAAATAAATTCTGCTACTATGTAGCCTGGGATCCTGATATAGACTGTACGATTCTTGGTTGGTTCGTATTCTCCAACCATATTCATCCCTTGTTGGGACTTCTATTTTCTGGATAAATATTCTCTCCCATGTGTTCAAAAGGATTTCTGCTATTTTTATTAGGGTCCAAGTTTCACCGGCGTATTCTACTAATGCTCTTATTATATTTTATGTAGTTTTCTTTGTTGTCATATCCCTTATATTCGCTTCGATTTTGTTTCATGGGTGGCTGGCAAGATTTTTGGAACGCTAATTGACCCGCTTCCCGTCATCAACCTGTCTTGCAGAATCTTGGCATATGATTTATAAAAAAATAATAATAATCACAGTTTAGGGTAAAACCTGAGAGATTAAAAAAAAAATTACAACCATCATGTTGAGCCAAAGTTTTCTGCAGCAATACAAGTCACAGTAGAAATTTCAAACTAAAACAAAGAACTCATCTTATTAGGCTTGAAAAGTGTATGAACTCCGAAGGAAAACTATGAACATCTGTTCCATCATTTTTGCAAAATTTTTTTTTTTTTTTTTTTTAGTTCATATCAAGTCGGGGCGCTATTTTCAGGTTTCACCCCGGGCGCAGCTTTTGCTCTGCACGGCCCTGCTGGGGGAACAGGAGCCAATGGAAGTTCTTCTTAAGTATATATCTTGGGATTTATTTATAATTTATTTGGGACTTCGCTAAGGCATTTATTGAAAGGGAAACGCTTCAGCCAATTAATTAACTTTTTAATGAAGAGAAACATCTTTGTAAATTTACTTTATCCATAAACCTTACATCTACAATTGAGTATTTGACATAAATTAACAACTTTGATGCATGAAAAATCTTTAAAAATTTGACCAATTATTAGAAGAAACATTAAATATTTTAACGTAATATTATTTATGCTTACTGTATTTTTTTTTTTTTTTTTTTTTTTTTTTTTTTTCTTTAGAACTTAAAATGGTAATGTGAAAAGGCAAATATAAAATAACCTTTATTTTAATTATAAATATTTTAAACTTGGATTTATTGACAAGGGGAATAATCAAATTTTTTGCTTTCCAGCCATTCCATAAACTTGTTTTGTTAAATGGAAAGGAAATTTTGAAAAGAAAACAAGCTGATTAAATACCAGCTGTAGCAGCGCCGCCACTCTGCGCCCGTTAGATGCCGGAAGAGGTGCGTATCCATATTAATCAATCCAGATGTCACCTCATATGTATCCACCATTCATCCTGCCCCTTGGGCCTCATCATGGTAGTCCGCGCTTAAACCATTATGTGGTCAAATTATGATTGAGAAAATACTTCATCTGAGGTTGGACGTATTTGAGAAAAGGACTCGTCTCTCAAAAACCAGGTGTCTTTTCAAAGGGACACAACAATCATGATACTGGGATATGACCGGTTTTTCATGAGTTACGTCCCTTTGGGGGCGACACGGTCCACTCGGGAATCATTGTAGAATGGATTGAACGTTTTTTAAAATCTATTTTTCAACACGTAGAAATAAGTTACTTCTTTCGGACGACAGAATCAAATTATTGTTGAGCCCTTGTTGATTTAAAGCTGTGCCTGCATTCAACTCTCCGTGTGTGTGTGTGTGTGTGTGTGTGTGTGTGTGTGTGTGTTGCCCCAAAGGCGTGCATGGATACAACGATGTAAGTGGGTTACAAACCATACGAATAACATTAACCGTGCGTCACGGGGACGAACATTGGGAAACTGTGGTCAGAGTTAATGAACCTGAGGGCAGTGATAGCGATCACTAGATAACTTCACAGGGGAGTGTCCTGAAATGGTTGACTCCGGACTTAAGAGATACGACGCACTCGGCCTGGATCAAGCATTGCATTGAAGTGGGAAAGGGTGGTGCGGGAGGGGGGGGGGGGAGGGTTTAGAAGATTTCCAGACATTCTTTATCGAAAAGAAGAACTAAGAGTTTTGCGATGCTGTCAGAGAACATTCGAAGAATATTTCCTTATCAAGATAAAAGGTGAGAAGCATTGCATTGAAGTGGGAAAGGGTGGTGCGGGAGGGGGGGGGGGGAGTGTTTAGAAGATTTCCAGACATTCTTTATCGAAAAGAAGAACTAAGAGTTTTGCGATGCTGTCAGAGAACATTCGAAGAATATTTCCTTATCAAGATAAAAGGTGAGCGCGAAGGGACGTCTCTTCATAGACAGCTCAACACGTAGCTTTAAAAGTGTTCGAGAGTAAGTACAGTACTAGAGTAATTAAAGTAATAGAGTAAGTATAGTACTTGATTAGGTTTTGTACTAGATAAATTATATTACTAGTGTAATAAAATTACTAGAGTAAGAAGAAAACTAGAGTAAGTGCTGAACTGAAAGTATAGTACTAGAGCAAACGTAGTGTCAAGGGCATGAGAACCGCTGTTGTGATGTGTTTGATAACTGTAAATGATGTTCACCAAAATGGGTGCAACTTTGAGTGAACGAAGCGTGAGGTTGTCACTGTCGATGGGGGTCGGGGAGGGGGGGGTATATAAGGGGCGGGGTTGTGTCAGAGTCACTAAGAAGGGTTGCGTGATGTTAACAAACGAGGGCTGTGTCACAGAGACAGATAGTAGGACATACATGTGGTAGTTTGAGGTTATTTCGTGCCCTGTGTCACTGATACAGATAGTAGGACATACATGTGGTAGTTTGAGGTTATTTCGTGCCCTATGTCACTGAGGATTTTGATGATGTGTTCGAAAGGATTATTAATGTCGCTGGCTAGCGCTGCTGTTGGCCTGTGTGTTTTTGAGTAATAAAGAACTCGGTTATTGAACGTCTGCTACGCATGGACTTGGCTGAGTGGTTGGTGCTCCATGATTGTCAACCTGTGTACACCAGTGCATACTTGTGAACGGTGAGACGTAGTCCACACCAAGGGTACACGTCGTAACAACAGTAGTAACGCCTAGACATAACATAACAACACTAGGAACACCTAGGCGTAACATAACAACAGTAGGAACACCTAGGCGTAACATAACAACACTAGGAACACCTAGGCGTAACATAACAACAGTAGGAACACCTAGGCGTAACATAACAACAGTAGGAACACATAGACGTAACATAACAGTAGGAACACCTAGACGTAACATAACAACAGTAGGAACACCTAGACGTAACATAACAACAGTAGGAACACCTAGGCGTAACATAACAGTAGGAACACATAGACGTAACATAACAGTAGGAACACCTAGGCGTAACATAACAACAGTAGGAACACATAGACGTAACATGACAGTAGGAACACCTAGACGTAACATAACAACAGTAGGAACACATAGACGTAACATAACAGTAGGAACACCTAGGCGTAACATAACAACAGTAGGAACACATAGACGTAACATAACAGTAGGAACACCTAGACGTAACATAACAACAGTAGGAACACATAGACGTAACATAACAACAGTAGGAACACATAGACGTAACATAACAACAGTAGGAACACCTAGGCGTAACATAACAGTAGGAACACATAGACGTAACATAACAGTAGGAACACATAGACGTAACATAACAGTAGGAACACCTAGACGTAACATAACAACAGTAGGAACACATAGACGTAACATAACAACAGTAGGAACACATAGACGTAACATAACAACAGTAGGAACACCTAGGCGTAACATAACAGTAGGAACACATAGACGTAACATAACAGTAGGAACACATAGACGTAACATAACAGTAGGAACACATAGACGTAACATAACAGTAGGAACACATAGACGTAACATAACAGTAGGAACACATAGACGTAACATAACAACAGTAGGAACACATAGACGTAACATAACAGTAGGAACACATAGACGTAACATAACAACAGTAGGAACACATAGACGTAACATAACAACAGTAGGAACACATAGACGTAACATAACAGTAGGAACACCTAGACGTAACATAACAACAGTAGGAACACATAGACGTAACATAACAACAGTAGGAACACATAGACGTAACATAACAGTAGGAACACATAGACGTAACATAACAACAGTAGGAACACCTAGGCGTAACATAACAGTAGGAACACATAGACGTAACATAACAACAGTAGGAACACATAGACGTAACATAACAGTAGGAACACATAGACGTAACATAACAACAGTAGGAACACATAGACGTAACATAACAACAGTAGGAACACATAGACGTAACATAACAGTAGGAACACCTAGACGTAACATAACAACAGTAGGAACACATAGACGTAACATAACAACAGTAGGAACACATAGACGTAACATAACAGTAGGAACACATAGACGTAACATAACAACAGTAGGAACACCTAGGCGTAACATAACAGTAGGAACACATAGACGTAACATAACAACAGTAGGAACACATAGACGTAACATAACAGTAGGAACACATAGACGTAACATAACAACAGTAGGAACACATAGACGTAACATAACAATAGGAACACATAGACGTAACATAACAACAGTAGGAACACATAGACGTAACATAACAACAGTAGGAACACATAGACGTAACATAACAGTAGGAACACATAGACGTAACATAACAGTAGGAACACCTAGGCGTAACATAACAGTAGGAACACATAGACGTAACATAACAGTAGGAACACCTAGGCGTAACATAACAGTAGGAACACCTAGGCGTAACATAACAGTAGGAACACATAGACGTAACATAACAGTAGGAACACATAGGCGTAACATAACAACAGTAGGAACACATAGACGTAACATAACAGTAGGAACACATAGACGTAACATAACAGTAGGAACACATAGACGTAACATAACAGTAGGAACACATAGACGTAACATAACAGTAGGAACACCTAGGCGTAACATAACAGTAGGAACACATAGACGTAACATAACAGTAGGAACACATAGACGTAACATAACAATAGTAGGAACACATAGACGTAACATAACAGTAGGAACACATAGACGTAACATAACAGTAGGAACACATAGACGTAACATAACAGTAGGAACACATAGACGTAACATAACAACAGTAGGAACACATAGACGTAACATAACAGTAGGAACACATAGACGTAACATAACAGTAGGAACACCTAGGCGTAACATAACAACAGTAGGAACACCTAGGCGTAACATAACAACAGTAGGAACACATAGACGTAACATAACAGTAGGAACACCTAGGCGTAACATAACAACAGTAGGAACACCTAGGCGTAACATAACAACAGTAGGAACACCTAGGCGTAACATAACAGTAGGAACAACTAGGTGTAACATAACAACAGTAGGAACACCTAGGCGTAACATAACAACAGTAGGAACACCTAGACGTAACATGTGGTACTAGATCGGAATATTTTAAAGATTATTTTTTTTTTAATAGGGGAGTTAAAGGCTGTTGGGGGTAGGAGAGGTGGGGGAAATTCGATAAAGGTTTTCTGTATGAAGGATGGTGGGGTAATATGCAATGAAGATTGGGTGTGGCGTGGTGGGGAACACATCGATGAAATACAGCAAAGCATATTACAAACTATGTTGAATTACAGTGTTGCATTAAACATCATGATGTGTTACATACTAGCACCACACATCATGTTGTGTTACATACTAACACCACACATCATGATGTGTTACATTCTAGCACCACACATCATGTTGTGTTACATACTAGCACCACACATCATGTTGTGTTACATACTAACACCACACATCATGATGTGTTACATTCTAGCACCACACATCATGTTGTGTTACATACTAGCACCACACATCATGCTGTGTTACATACTAGCATCACTCATCATGATGTGTTGCATACTAGCATCACACATCATGTTGTGTTACATACTAGCAGCAAACATCATGATGTGTTATATACTAGCAACACACATGATGTGTTACATACTAGAACCACACATCATGTGTTACATACTATAAATACACATCATGATGTGTTACATACTAGCAACACACGACATGATGTGTTACATACTAGCACCACATATCATGTAGCGTTACATACTGGCACCACACATGATGTGTTACATACAAGCACCACACATCACGTGTTATATACTAGCACCACACATCATGTGTTACATACTAGCACCACATTTCATGATGTGTTACATGCTAGCACCACTGATCACGTGTTACATACTAGTACCACAAATCATGTTGTGTTACATAATAGCACCACACATCATGTTGTGTTACATACTAGCACCACACATCATGATGTGTTACATACTAGCACCACACATCAAGATGTGTTACCTACTAGCACCACACATGATGTTGTGTTACATACTAGCACCACACGTTATGTTTAGTTGCCGTTGGCTATGCTGCTCGTTGAATGTAGTTTGTCTCAATAGCAACAACTGCACAATTCTAAACGAAAAAATTTCCACCACAATCAAAACCTTATCCATAAACAATATTGGAAACACAAACATAAAACATAAAACATAAAAATTGTCAACAATTTTAATAAATAATTACAAGACATAAATGTAAACGCAAACATAAACGCCAACACGATCCCAAACACGATATCAAACACGATATCAAACACAATATCAAACACAATATCAAACACAATATCAAACACAATATCAAACACAATATCAAACACAATATCAAATACAATATCAAACACGATATCAAACACAATATCAAACACAATATCAAATACAATATCAAACACGATATCAAATACAATATCAAACACGATATCAAACACAATATCAAACACAATATCAAATACAATATCAAACACGATATCAAACACAATATCAAACACAATATCAAACACAATTTCAAATACAATATCAAACACGATATCAAACGCAATATCAAACACAATGTCAAACACAATATCAAATACAATATCAAACACGATATCAAACACAATCTCAAAGACAATATCAAACACGATATCAAATAAAATATCAAACACAATATCAAACACAATATCAAACACAATCTCAAACACAAACACAGGCTGAAATGTTGGCGATCACTTTCCTTGAATCCATTTGTTTGCCAACCTCCAAAGTAGCCACTGGTCAAACCTCAAAGTAGCCACTGGTCAAACCTCCAAAGTAGCCACTGGCCAAACCCGAACAGGCCGAATTTTTTTTTTTTTAAATGCTGTTTTTTTTTTCAAATGAACAGGAGACAAAAGTTTCCATTTGTTTGGACCATAAATAACTACTGTCAAGGGGTCAGAAGACGGGGGTTCTAAAATTAATCAAGATATACCCTACTTGAGGCGTGTTGCTTGTTATTGATCTTGTGAAGTCATTGATTCTGATTTTTATCTGTGGAAATTTAGCGAGAAATGTATGAGAAAAAAAAAGCAGAAGCCCATAAATAAACCGTCGGGGCTCTTTTAAAGGAAAAAAAACGAATCGTGCTGGCGCGTTAAAAACAGTCTGGGGACCACTGTGCAGGTTTTTACAAAGTTGATATCACGTAAGGTTATTTTGAAACAACTAATTATTTAACACAAACATGTTGTTTTAGCGGTTTAACAGCCCGAGCTTGCTGTCTTGCTCAATGTTTTATCAATATTCCCAATGAGGTACGTGATTTAATGATATTAACAAGCCATTGACAGACCTGACATTGACAGAATTGACATTGAGAGGACTGACATTGACAGAAATGACATTGACAGAATGAGAACTGACATTGACAGAAATGACATTGACAGAATGAAAACTGACATTGACAGAAATGACATGGACAGAAATGACATGGACAGAACTGACATTGACAGAACTGACATTGACAGAAATGACATCAACAGAACTGAAAATGACAGAAATGACATCAACAGAACTGAAAATGACAGAAATGACATCAACAGAACTGAAAATGACAGAAATGACATCAACAGAACTGAAAATTACAGAAATGACATCAACAGAACTGAAAATGACAGAAATGACATTGACATAAAAGAAGGGATACGCCTGAAATATGTATGAAATCTAAATCTCAGCTAATATGATGTTATTTTAGGTTGGGTCCTTATGAGGAGAATTTAGGTTAGGTAAAGTTAGACTAAGTTTGGTTAGGGTTAGGGTTAGGTGAGTTGATGTTAGTTTATGCTGGGTGAGGTAAGGTTAGCAGAAGCTAGATCAGACCAGGCTGGGTTAGGGTTAGGGTAGATGAGGTGAGTCTAGTTTAGGTTAGATCAGACCAGGCTGGGTTAGGGTAGATGAGGTGAGTCTAGTTTAAGTTGGCTTATGTAAGATTAGGTACAGTGACATCAGGTTAGGGTTAGGGTTAGGGTAGATGAGGTGAGTCTAGTTTAAGTTGGCGTATGTAAGATTAGGTACAGTGACATTAGGTTAGGGTTAGGGTTAGGGTAGATGAGGTGAGTCTAGTTTAAGTTGGCATATGTAATATTAGGTACAGTGACATTAGGTTAGGTTAGTTAGGTTAGGGGAGATTATGGTATTTCAGGATTTCGTTGCCTGAGGAAAGGTTAAGGAAAGTTATATTATGGCGGTTAGGTGAGTTGAGATGAGGTTAGGTTAAGTTAGGTTAATATTAGTTAGTTTAGGTTAGGTTTTGTGGGTAAGTTAAGCTAGATGAGTAAGTGGATATTAGATTAAGTTGGGTAGTTATAAGGTAAGTTAATTTATATGAGTTAAGGTTAGCAGAAGATAGATTAGGTTAAGTTGTTTAGGTTAGTTGAGACGAGTTGGAGTGAGGTTAGGCTTCAGTGTTTGGTTAGACATTGCACTCTATTGCAGCGTGAAGCTAACTCTCTCTCTTTCTCTACCTCCCCCTCTCTCTACCTCCATCTCTCTCTAACTCCCTCTCTCCACCTTCTTCTTCTTCATCTATATCTTAAGGGCCCACGATCAATTTATTGATCATTTTGGCTCCTATGCATGTAGTTGGGATTTGCAATTTCCCTCTGTCTCTACCTCCCTCTCTCTCTACCTCCCTCTATCTCCCTACCTCCCTGTCTCTCTCTCTCTCTCTCTCTCATATTTACTTCAGTTGGTGAGTTGGTGACGTCATTTGACACCGACATAAATATTGGCGTCAGTTGACACGGTCTAAGACATTGACACCATACCCTCCCTCCAATATTGACGTCAGTTGACACGGTCTAAGACATTGACACCATACCCTCCCTCCAATATTGGCGTCAGTTGACACGGTCTAAGATATTGACACCATACCCTCCCTCCCAATAGAGGACAAAAGCTTTTTAATTTAGATCTTTTCTTGACAACGGACTTCAAAAAGAAACTACTCTCAACATTTATAAAAACTAACTAAAAGACTTTTGCAAATACCTGAATCAATAACCATGGACAAAGGCGGATCTGACCTTTCGTTTCATTTGTTGCCCCCAGTGCTGTGATAACATGTCTGCTTGTAGTCTGCGTGGCGGTAGAAGCGGCTCTGACAGCTTATCTTTCCATTAGGTACACCCCACCTGTCCTGTACTTCAACATACAAGGTAAATTACTCATGTTGTAGTTGCTACTGAATACATTAACAAATAAACGGCGATTGCTGTAAAGAACTGTTAAAATACATTCTAAGACAATGATTGCAGGGGTAAAATTGTGGAGCTATGGTGTAAATAACTGTCAAAATACATTCTAAGACAATGATTGCAGGGGTAAAACTGTGGAGTTATTTGCGGAACATGTTTGCCTGGGTTGGGAGGAGGAAAAAAATTGTAATGAAATTTTTGTTAAGAGATACGAATTGAAATAAGCGATCAACATGGCATTGGGGTGGAACATGACATTAGTGTTAATATGACGTCTGCGCCAGGACGAACGGTAGAGACATTGAGTTGCATAGCAGGGAATCTGGTTGTTAGACAACTAGAGAACCCAGAGGGTCGTCTGCTCAAAATCTATAAGTCGCAGTTACGCTGCAGTGCGTAAGCTCGGGAAAATAGTAATGTTCTCGTCCTGCCTTCGAACACACGCTGTGGGTGGAGCTTCAAGGGCTGTAGAAAGTAGATGGCTAGTTGAAACATTGGAAGAAGGTAACGGTTGTTGGAGGGGGGGGTTGAGGGGTAGCGATTAGGCAGATCAATGTCAATCACGCCCTTCACGTGTGAATAACATCCCTTGAAAGTAAGCCTTTGAATCGGTGGCGAAGCTAGAATTAGGGCTGTTAGGGACGGTTCAAGGATTTTGCCGAATCCCCCCTCACCCTCCCCCCACCCCCCGACCATCGACGAAAAATCTCTTCATTTGGGCAAAAATGTCGCGTGTTGATAATCAAGAAAAAATGCCACATGACCGGAACTTTTTTTAAAGATGCATTACAAACAGGAGGCTTTTCAATGTCTGATCTCACTACATGTCACTTGTCAATGTCTGATCTCACTACATGTCACTTGTCAATGTCTGATCTCACTACATGTCACTTGTCAATGTCTGATCTCACTACATATCACTTGTCAATGTCTGATCTCACTACATATCACTTGTCAATGACTGATCTCACTACATCTCATGTGTCAATGTCTGATCTCACTACATCTCATGTGTCAATGTCTGATAACACTAACATCTCATGTGTCAATGTCTGATATCACTAACATCTCATGTGTCAATGTCTGATATCACGATATCTCACGTGTCAATGTCTGATATCACGATATCTCATGTGTCAATGTCTGATATCACATCTCATGTGTTAATGTCTGATATCACTACGTCTCACTTGTCAATGTCTCATATCACTATGTCTCATTTTTTTTTCAAAGGCAACGACAGAGACCCGGCCGCTGTAAAGTTTCATTACACTATCGGTGACAAAGCTTATCACGGCGCAGGCGTGAAGACAAGTAAGTCAGTCTCAAAGCTCCACGACCTGTAAGACATCTCTAGACCTTTTTTTTTTTTCTTTTTTTTTTTGTTAATATATTTTTTTCCCTCTCAATCAACTAACTTGATGTTTGGAAAGTTTTCCATTAATTTCTTTTTTGTATTTGTTTCTAAGCAATCACCTTTAGCGTGTAGCCATTAAGAGAATAGTGAAGCTTGTTGTTGAGTTTATGTACTTTTTTTTTTTTTTTTTTTTTTTTGTTAATATATTTTTTTCCCTCTCAATCAACTAACTTGATGTTTGGAAAGTTTTCCATTAATTTCTATTTTGTATTTGTTTCTAAGCAATCACCTTTAGCGTGTAGCCATTAAGAGAATAGTGAAGCTTGTTGTTGAGTTTATGTGAGATCTTAGTGATAGCCTGTGGCTTTTGTTCGGAGTTCACCTTTACAGTAGTACAATATCATGGATACTCATTATGTCTGAAGCAGACTTGTCTTTGTTTATAATCATAATGTCTGAAGCAGACTGTCTTTGCTTATAATCATAATGTCTGAAGCAGACTTGTCTTTGTTTATAATCATAATGTCTGAAGCAGACTTGTCTTTGTTTATAATCATAATGTCTGAAGCAGACTCGTCTTTGTTTATAATCATAATTTCTGAAGCAGACTCGTCTTTGTTTATAAACATAATGTCTGAAGCAGACTTTTTCTTTGTTTATATTCATAATGTCTGTAGCCGCGTGATGAAACAAATGTTTATTTGGCCGACATGTCTTCGGTGGCCGGTCTTCATCACGCCATCCCGACATGTCTTCGGTGGCCGGTCGTCATCACGCCATCCCGACATGTCTTCGGTGGCCGGTCGTCATCACGCCATCCCTCCAAAAAGAGGGCGTATGCATCAGCTGTGTCCAAGATGGAGGGTGTGCATTTTCGTTGGTTGATGCCTAATATGCCCAAGTTAAAAATTAGAAGTTTTACGGTCCCAAGAGCGTTGAAAACATAATGAGCCGTCCATAAAGATCAACCCGCTCCTGATGGTAGAAGGGTGTGGAAGAAAGTGTGACCCCCCACCCCCACCCCCCCCCCAACCCCGGGGTGGTGAGGCAAAAATCTTACATAACTCACACATATTAAAATTATTTTTTTTCATCAGCTACTAATTTTTAAACATTTTCTGTTTTTTAATTCGGAAAGTGTAACTTAATTTCGGGGGGGGGGGGTGACCAAGATTTGTAACAGATTGCGACGGTCAGAGAGGGAGGGGTAAACATTGATAAAATAGTGTGACGTACCATACGGTTGGCCTCTTGACCACATTGATTCTAAAGACAACTTGGAAATACCTCCAAACACTATGATAAAACTGAACCAAAGAAGAAGAGATGCAATCGAATCCCTTGCAGTGAAACGTCTGCAGTGAAACGCCTGCAGGGAAACGCCTGCAGTGAAACGCCCCTGAAGAGATCTTCGGATATATAGAAAAAAAATCGTGTCGGTTACAAGTGCTGTATGGACAAATTATCCAGATCAGTTGCCGACGACAAATTATAAAATGCACTACTAAAAATAACCAATTTAATCTTAGAACACAATCAAAGTTTATTGTTTCCCGTACGTAGCGGAAGGCTGGCAGTACCAGACGCGTGATGTTGACTTGAACGGTGCTGACCATGTTGTAGTCCACGCCGTCCTCTACACCAGTGAGGGCTACATCCTCGAGACCACCGACAGGGTCACACTTGAACTCGGTAAGTGAGCAAAACAAATCTGCTCCCTACTGAAGATATTATGGATGAATGGGTTGTGCCATCTTATTTGAACGAACTTTTATTATAACCAGGCTTTGCGGTTTTTTCCATTCCACCCTTTCATATTTTGTTAATGAGTTCATCAGATGTTAAAAAGTTAGTTTAACTGACGTAAGTTCAACTGGCAATAGTTGTTCGGAAACATTTTGTCAAACCATGATTTCGGATGGATGTAGCTTTTTTTTTAAAATTTTTTTGTAGTATTGTATTCTATCCTGTTACAAAGGTAGCACGTCATATCTATCCACGATGTCTATCATTTTTATCTACGCAAACAGTGTTTAAACTATCATATATCTATCTTCACACATACAAAATCCCATTGTAAAATCATTTTTCGAAATATTATACGCTACACGGAAAAGATTTTTACTACAGTTCATTGCAAAATAAAAAAAAACAATATTGTCTGCAGTTTCCTTACCAGTGTCAGAACTGGGCTCTGGATAGAAAATCTCCATACAACTCTCGTCAACAGCGAGATGAGATGTGTTTCCTAAACTTGGTGTCATTTGCTGCGGAACACCCATGACCATTTCACATTTCACACACATTCAGTGCACCACAGCACACCGGTGAACCGCGGCACACCAGCTCTTACGGAGTTCGGCTCATTACACACCTACATACATTTCGTGTTTTAAATTTACGTTGAGTCACTACTGTACACTGATCTCACCCCGGTACATGTTTATCAGTATGTGTACACTTCTGTAGCATTCAAGTCTTCTGTTCTGTCTGTCAGGCAACAACTTTGGGCGTGTGGCACTGCCAGGCAGAAGGAAGAGAGGCGCCGTCATATTTAGAGACAATTTCAATTTCATCAACACGGCCAACTGGAGATATGAGATTTCCATGTTTGGTGGAATGGTTAGTTTCAATGTTTGGTGGAATGCTATGTGTCAATGTTTGATGGAATGATAAGTGTCAATGTTTGATGGAATGATAAGTGTCAATGTTTGATGGAATGATAAGTGTCAATGTTTGATGGAATGATAAGTGTCAATGTTTGATGGAATGAAAAGTGTCAATGTTTGATGGAATGAAAAGTGTCAATGTTTATGGAATGATAAGTGTCAATGTTTGATGGAATGATAAGTGTCAATGTTTGATGGATGATAAATGTCAATGTTTGATGGAATGGTTTGCGTCAATGTTTGATGGAATGGTTTGCGTCAATGTTTGATGGAATGATAAGTGTCAATGTTTGATGGAATGATAAGTGTCAATGTTTGATGGATGATAAGTGTCAATGTTTGATGGAATGGTTTGCGTCAATGTTTGATGGAATGGTTTGCGTCAATGTTTGATGGAATGATAAGTGTCAATGTTTGATGGAATGATGAGTGTCAATGTTTGATGGAATGATGAGTGTCAATGTTTGATGGAATGATGAGTGTCAATGTTTGATGGAATGATAAGTGTCAATGTTTGATGGAATGATAAGTGTCAATGTTTGATGGAATGATAAGTGTCAATGCTTGATGGAATGTTGGATCGGATGCTGAATTCTATTTTTAGATTATTAAAGACACTTTCTGGGGAAATACTATCGGTTCAGAAATATTTCTTATAAACCCACCAAAAGCAACATTAAAAAAACAAATCATTATTCTTTATTTTTAGAACTGGGAATTCCAGGTGTACACCACTGAAGCCAGAAATACTTTCATTAGAGATGGGGAAATTCTTTATATCAAGCCTGTGAGTTGGATTGAAACTTGTTTATCATAAATAAATATTTTTAGAATTAAAATAAAATGCGATGCTAAAATTCTGGACAAAAAATATTTTTGAAAAAAAAATAATACTTGAAATAGTTTATAAAAACTCAAATGTATTGTTTTGGAAGTTTATTCAAGAAAGATGAATGGATGTATTCAAATTAAGACAAGTCATTTGATACGTACGTGTATATTTTTTTTCATATTTCAACAGACACCAACAACGGATGACGTCAGATTCAGTGAGAGCTTTCTTCGTACCGGCAAAATGGACATGAATGGTAAGTGATATGTGGCCACCTCCTGTTCAAGAAGAAAAGGAATCAAAGGGTTATTCAGTTATTTTTTTTTAATACGCACAGACTTTCTTTGCATAATGAATTTGACGAATTAAAAAAGATATATATATATATTCTACTACTAAGTGCCTTTAAAAGGCCGCACGCCAGTACGGTTTACTGAACGAAGCAGGCGCGATAACCAACGATCAACTGAGCGAAAAGGTCACGTGTGTAAACTCGCAGGATTCCATTTTAGTTGGATTCATCTCGAGCAGAGCATGGGATCAAAATAGGTCATTTCATCCGGATACAATTTCTTGTTAAATAGGTCTTTGTAAGGTCTTTGTTAGTTGTTATTTGTTCAGCGCTTGTAAGCCTCACAGCAGTGAGCGCCAGGATTTTCAAAGTAGAAAAACAAGTGTTAGTGCCAATATGTAAATTTGTAAAAACATCTTAAACTGTTACATTATTTTTTTTAGGATGAAGACCTCTGGCACTTAATGAATGATATTATAATCTGAAACAAGAGAGGTGTTAAAATCTTAAGTTAACAGCCCTGCTGTGGTTGGTTGTACGATAAGGGATTACCATTTATCTGCAATGGGAGTCGCTTCCTTGTTCGGTCACGTGATGAGAGTAAGCCATCACTAGGCTGCTACACACAACAAAAGATAACAGCTGATCTGCCATTAATTTTTAAGAAAAATGTTCGTCTTCATCAGTGCTTCCCCAATGTCATGTTACTTAAAAATTTTACCTTTCAAAATATTCTGGCATACACGTGTTTTTTTTAAAATGAAATACATAAATGTGACAATAAATATACGTCAGTTATGATTAAAGGAAGAAAATTATTTCAAGAAAAATTTGTGAGCGATAATCGATGGGAACTTGAGCTCCGTGCCCATGACGTCATTTGCATGTTTATTTAATATTTGTGTAGGAGTCTTTCCTCTTTGTTTATTTTATTGTTAATCATCATTGGACGAAATGTCGACATACCCATGACGTCATTTGCGTGTTTATTCAATAATTGTTCGACGAAGGAATATTTTAATAACCGGTTGGAACAAGATTTCATGTGAATAATTAACGAAGGTCCACTTTGTCAAGCCATTGTCTTAAATTTTCTTTATCCTTAAGTGGAAACTTATGCAGACTTATACCGCTGTCCTTAACTTGACTGTTTGAACAGCCAAAAACCGAACATTGCCTAGGCATCTTGAATTACTAGTTGTAGTGTGTAACTGACTACTGGTTGTCAAGCACTGTGTTGTATACTGCCTCCCGGAAGTCTTACTCGTATTTACTGTCATCACGTGATAAAACAATGGACTAAGCGACTCCCATTAATCAACTCTAACCTCTAGCTAGAAGATAGTGACGCAAGGAATGGGGAAGCTTGAAATATGACGACACGAGAATAAGAATAGAATATTTCGGCACTAACATTGATTGCGAACTCCACACGGGGGACGTCATTTGGGAATGGCAGGGTGGAGAATTGGCCCCCTTCCCCTGAATTTGCAGTTTCTATTTAAATTGCTATGTACTGTGGGGCCTACAGTAATAAAGCCCCCAACCCCCCCCCCTCCCATGAAAATCCTGAAATGACGTTATTGCTCCGAACATTTAAGTTATTAACCTGTTTTCTATTTCTTGTTGTTTCTCCATTTGCCCTGTCTGCTGGCGAAGGCTCTTGGCCGAAACGCTCTTCTTTCTTGTCATGACTTTAGATTCAAGCGTCCACATACCTTGTTCTACTATTTCCTTCACGCAGCTTGAACGCAGTCCTTCACTTATTAACTCTTCTAGAAATCTGGGGATATTGCACAAACAGTGCCAACTACGGCTGCTTCAGAGAAGGACAGTATGGCCTCCTGCCTCCAATCATGTCTGGCAAAATCATGAGTATACCCACCCTGAGGTACGGCATTGTCGAAGTTAGAGCCAAGATCCCCAAAGGAGACTGGATTTGGCCAGGTAAACAGACAACACTTTTTCTTGATGCTTCTATTTGTCACCTTTAGTTAATTCAGAAACAAAATTTTGCAAGAATTATATTTTATTTTTTTCAAGAGTAAAGCATTGATTTACAAAGAAAGCTGCAGATGACTTTGATTTGATTCACATCAAACATTTGGTTTCAGCTTTAAATTGGAAAAAAAATATATATATTAAAAAATGAACGATAGCCCTTTTTCAAATGATCAGATCTTAAACTTTGGCTAGGGATGCATCGTAAAAGGGTGAGTTCTGTTAACCACAGCCTAATATAAACACTTCATTTTTACATTGATGTGTCCGCAGCCATTTGGATGCTACCCAGAGACAACGCTTATGGTGACTGGCCTCGTTCTGGTGCAATTCAAATCATGGAATCCAGAGGCGAGATTTTTTATAGTTTTGAAGTGATTGAGCTTGTCATTGGTTTAAGATTACAATGTGTTCCTTGTTATTTTTTTTTTAAAGTGTGTGTGTGGGGGGGGGGTGGATTTTATTGTGATACAGGTATCTATATGTATATACACGAGTGCTGGGTTGCCGAGTTGTCTAAAGTGAGCTATTCTCAAGTCTCGAGTTCACCACCAAACGCCCAGACAAGCAAAATAATCACCAGCACTCCGGGTGGATGGGACTCGTTAACCTTGGACAGCGACTCATCTAAGAGAAGGAAAAGTTGGATTCCCGTAGGCTATCGATAACATTGGCACAATGAAACATTCCGACAACTCCTGTGACGCCACTGGTGACAAGGTGTATCCCTTGGGTTATCCAGCGGCGTGGAGGGAGGCGATTTGCTGTTGGGAACCAGCTTGTAATCCTAGAAGAATAATCCCAGGGCCTGTGGATTTTATCACATTGTGACGGACGGATGCCAGAAAAAAAAATTGTTAAAGAAGGACTAATTCATTTACTGTGCGTTGTTTTAAAGTAAACTACGAACATTTTACAAATTCAGTGTTTTCTTTAGATTTGTAATATGCCTTACACTCAGTAGATGTTGTATCGCGCCCATTTTTATGTTGTTACAAAGAATATTTATATTTCTGTTCACCGAGAAATGTCCCGTGCTTACCGCAGTCCATCCACAATGGTGTTTGCTATCCACATGTCAAATGTTGATGTCGTACCCACAGGTAACAACGGTGACATTGGTGTTGGTACTGTCACCAGTACACTTCACTGGGGACCAGACACCAGGACCAACAGATATACACTTACAACAGGTGGACAGTAAGTATATCACTATAGCTATACTCTATTTAGGGAGATTCCACTTTAGTTGGAGCATTCAAACTTAGATCCTTTCTGGTGAATTTGGATTGTGAGCGCAGTACCCCATCCTTTTGGCATTGAGACAGCCTTACAGTTAGTCCTACAGACAGTCCTACAGACAGTCCTACATATAGTCCTACAGACAGTCCTACAGACAGTCCTACAGTTAGTCCTACAGATAGTCCTACAGTTAGTCCTACAGACAGTCCTACAGTTAGTCCTACAGATAGTCCTACAGATAGTCCTACAGATAGTCCTACAGATAGTCCTACAGACAGTCCTACAGTTAGTCCTACAGACAGTCCTACAGTTAGTCCTACAGATAGTCCTACAGTTAGTCCTACAGACAGTCCTACAGTTAGTCCTACAGATAGTCCTACAGATAGTCCTACAGACAGTCCTACAGTTAGTCATACAGACAGTCCTACAGTTAGTCCTACAGATAGTCCTACAGTTAGTCCTACAGACAGTCCTACAGTTAGTCCTACAGACAGTCCTACAGACAGTCCTACAGACAGTCCTACAGAAGTCCTACAGACAGTCCTACAGCCCACCCGTAGCTCTATTTTATTTATTTTTACCTGATTTCAACGGTCACGGATGAAGCACGTCTCGTGACGGCTTTATTTTCTCACCCTGTACTAGTGATATAAAACATGTTGAGTAGGGGGAGGGCCCGTTGTGAAAAGGAAGCAGGACACACCAGAAGCGATAAATATATCTATATATATATCTATCTATATATATATATATATAGACTGGGTGGCCAAATGGTCTAAACTGAGCAAACCTCAAGTTGGTGGTCTGGTGTTCAAGTCCAGCCAAAGGCCAGTCAACCCAAAACATCACCCCGGGTGGATGAGACTCGTTAACCTTGGTCGGCAACTCGTCTAAGAGAAGGAAACTCTGACTTCAAACCCGGAGTAAGGCGCAAACAATGACAATTCCTGCAACCGAACCCATCCCTGGTCGTCTTGACGTAGAGTATTGCCACTGGATATGGTGGGCTCGGACGAGAGAGTGAGGTAGACGCCGCGCAACTCTTCTTCACTTTAAACAAAGTCACCCGCGCAAGTCATCAGTCACCAGACGACTAGACGGTCCTCGTCGATCTTCGACGGACGAACAATATATATATATATATAAGAGACATATTGAAGCCATGCAATTACTTTGTTAATGACATTCGTAACGACAAAATGTATGCTTGATAGTGTTCTACTTGAACCATGCATATGATTTGAACCCATTTTGACATACTTGTGTGCTTTTGTCAGGAAAAGTCCGTCATGGCATGATGAGTTCCATGTTTATAAACTGGTGTGGACACCTGACGCGTTAGAGTAAGTCTATAAATAGAACATTGATGTGCCTTCTTGCTCTCTTCTTTTTGTGTTCTCTTTACTTCTGTCAGCTTTTACAGTGGGGGGGGGGGCGTCCAGGGCAGGCCGCGGGGGGAGGCATCGAAGGGATGTAGTGTGGGGGAGGTAAAGTTGAGGAATAGCCACCAAAAAAGGGGGGAGGGGGCTGCTGGAGGTTCAAGTAGTTCAGTGTATGCTGAACGTAACCATTGTTTTTTTTTGTTCCCTGTCCCTGAGTGTGGGCAGTTGTATTCTTGCACTGCAAGATGCGCGCTGAACAGCGAAGTAAGGATATCAACTAATATGAATCAATTCATGCAACATATATTTTTCATTCAATTTTAATATCCTCATATTTGAATTGATTCATAATAGTTGTGTTCCTTAAAAAGGTTTGTATAATATAAACAAGAATAAGTATATATATATATATATATCACCAGAATGCCAAATGAAATTGAATGTATAGTTGGAACTGACAAGCTAAAAATGTTTCTATTTTTTTTTTTTAATTGTAACGTGTTTAACAGAACCTTTGTTGATGACGTCAGAATTATGGAGGTGAGCCCTGGGGTCAACTTCTGGGAGAAGGGCGGATTCACCGGTACAAACATCTGGGCAGGTGGTGAGAAGATGGCGCCTTTCGACAAAGACGTAAGAGACCCTAGCTTTACAGAGTACTTATGTTTAATGTGGGATTACCTTACTAAAATACCCGCTCCAGTTCTGTTTATGACAAATTTTTTGTTAAATCCAACTCTGCTCCTTCTAAGCTCCTTCTATGTTCCACCTAAGCTCCTTCTAAGATCCACGTAAGCTCCTTCTACGATCCATCTAAGCCACTTTTAAAATTCATCTAAGCTCCGTCTAAGACCCATTTAAGCTCCATTTAATTTCGAAGCTCCGGCACAATGAAAAAAAAAAATTTTTTTTTTAAAATAAGCTTGATCTATTTATAAGCCGTATTAAGTATAATCACCCCTTGGCAAATTTATTGGTTATCTGTCCTTGTCCTTAATGATCAAATAAGTCTTGTGGTTCTCTTTCTTGCCAAACGATTAATTTATCAACCAAGTTAAATTACAGTTAATTCCACGATGTCACAAAGTGACGAATAGGAGTGTAATACTTTCAAGTTTTTGAAGAAATGTGTGGATTATTTTCAGACACCAATCTTGTTAACCAGGCATTTTGAAATGCATGTTCCAGCACGATAGCTGGTAGAAGAGTGGGGCAACATAGCTGGTAGTAGAGTGGGGCAACATAGCTGGTAGAAGAGTGGGGAAACATAGCTGGTAGAAGAGTGGGGCAACATAGCTGTACAAGAGTGGGGCGACATAGCTGTTAGAAGAGTGGGGAAACATATCTGGTAGATTTTTTTTACCAGCTCCGAGCAAAATGACCCTGTCCCGGAGCTCTAGAGCCACATCAGTGGGTTTTTAACGTCAAGGCAAATATAGAAATATTTCGGCGTAAAATAAGTAAATTTCAAAATAACAACTGATAATATTTTCACATTAATTTCTATTTTCTGATCTTTATTATATTCCCACTCTTCAATTCTACACAATCTTTGCATTCTCCCCATGCATCAGTTCTACATGATCTATGTTTCCCCCCCCCCGCCCCCACTCTTCAGTTCTACTTGATCCTCAACGTCGCTATTTCTATTTTCTGATCTTTATTATATTCCCCCTCTTCAATTCTACACAATCTTTGCATTCTCCCCATGCATCAGTTCTACATGATCTATGTTTCCCCCCCCCCCCCGCCCCCACTCTTCAGTTCTACTTGATCCTCAACGTCGCTGTTGGTGGCGTCAATGGTTACTTCCCTGACTACTTCAACTACGGAGTCAAGAAGCCATGGGCGAACAACTCTCCGCGTGCCGCTGAAGATTTCTGGAACGCGCGTAACGATTGGCTGCCGACCTGGCAAGGGGATGAGACGGCCATGTTGATTGACTACGTCGAGTTCAGAAACTTGTAAAAATGTATTCAACGTACTTATTGTTTTTTTTGGAAATAAAACCACAACAAGACTCTTTAAAAAGTTTTTGCAAGTATTTTCAAAAAAAAAAAAGTAAATTTAAATTGAATTCGTAAAACTTAAAAGGCGTCTCAGCTGAATGGTTGAAGAATTGAAATTTTATATTGTGTTGTACCCTCGTATTAAAGGTTTTTAGGCCAAAATATCTACATGTATAGGGCTTGTGTTAAGAAAGTTTCTACTTTCAACAGTCCTAGGAATATGTTGTAAACAAAGTCCGCGTGTCTTGTGAATGGAATGTCTGCAGTGCAGGCTGGGTGACAGGTACTCGGACCAGCTGGTCAAACAATTTAGTTGGTGGGGTTTTTTTTTGGGGGGGGGGGGGGGGGGGGGGGGGGGGGTTGGGGGTCATTNTTTTAGCGATTCCCTGACTCATGGAGGGGGGGGGGAGGGGTGTGCTACAATGGGAGGGAATACAATTTTGACTTTTTTGTGTAAGTATTTTATGGATGGGCACAAAGACGTGTGAGTAACATCAGCGTGACTCCTGATTCCAAAGATTTTCCTTTCTCGTTTTCACCAGCTGTTCGCCTTAAACACCCCAATATCGCGAGAAAAAAAAATGTGTGATACTTTAGTTCATAGCCCACATTTCTCTAAGTTCCTTACTTCCTAGACTCTGGAACCTTGGGACTTCGGGAGGAGAAATGTCGGTCACGGCGGACAGCCTCTCAGTACATTTCGGACCCTACATTAAACTTCGTGGTCAATATATTACACATACACACACAAATATTCGTTCAGCATAAAGTCGTCAATGGCTTACGCCGTCTACTTGGGTGTAATGTTAACTTGCAATAGAAAGAACTGTTTAACTCATGCTCTCACTTAAAACTGGGTACACGTGTACTAAAACTATGTCTTTACTTTTACCTAGTAGGTTCATTTGGCTTCAGTTTCGTTTCAAGAAAGAAAATATATTAAATGGAAAGCAGTTTGCCTAGCCTCTAATATTTATAACTGCATCTATGTGTGATCTGACCATTAGGGTCAGTTACAAACATTTTTCTGCAAAATTTTTATTTATTCGATAAGTGTTTCTGAAAAGGTTTTATTTTGTTTGTGTTACCAATCTTTTTTTTTTTTAAACTTTAATTCAATTTCATTTTTTTTTTTCGTTTGCTTGTGTTCAACAAAAATGGTTTTTAAATTAAAATTTTAGTTACACATCTAACTACCAACCTTAGAAGCTTTGAAATGGGACACATTATTTTCAACACCGTGCTAGTAACCTTTTTTATCGGTTATATTAACTTAGCTCTTTTAATGTTTCTTTGTGGCGGCAAAATCTTCGGAAGACTACTATTGACCCACTTCCCGTCATCCTATCGAGCTTAAACTTGGCGCATAGACAAGTTGCTAACGACATCTTATTCAATCAAATTCTAATACCTATTCACCCCTGGTTCCCTGTTTTATAGGTGAAGGGGAGACGATGTTGATGAATTGTTCAATGGGTAGGTGTGTTGGTGTGGAGATTAATTGTGCATCGTATTTTGTGTTTGTGAGATGACATTGTAGTTATGATTTTGGTAGTCAGTGAGTAGCAGAGAGATAGTGGAAGGACGAAGGCAGTCTGTGAAGTTTTTTGTTGAATAAAGAACACTATACAATATTGATCTTTGTGTTGTTAACAATTACCCCTAGCCTAAACGAAGCTATTGAACACCTCGTGCAATTAGTAGTTCGTAACAATCAGGTGTTTCCAATTAAAGCCATGACCAGGCTTGAGTAATTGAAAGTAACCAATCAATACATCTGGTTTCTGAACAGACGAGTCTAATCCTGTAACGCATGTCAACCAAAGAAACTTCTTATTAGAGGGTCAAAACATATTTCATGACATACTTAAGGTCAAATAAAAAAAGATACAAAAAATAATTTAATCAATCCTGTCCCGGTGCAGTGGAGGACGTTTCCACCGGTCAGCGAAACGCAAAAGTTTGAGAAACACTGCTGAAGCTCTAGCAAATTTGTGTTTGAATTGACCAGTGACGTGGTGAGTTGGGTGTCAATGAGGAGTGGATCGCTGGCTTGAAACTTTGACGCCATGCAAGTGTCGACACAAGGCTGTAGAGGCAGCGCATCGTCTATGGAAACACGTGACCGTGTATGTCATGGGTACACATCATATGTTCAATTTTTTTAAAAAAAATTGTTTAGCTGTTGTAAAGGTACAATTATTTAAGAAAATATATTTTTCGGTTAAAAAAAATTATGGGATATTAAGATTTTGGGTGCTTGAAAAAGACGCGAAAGTAGCGAAATAATTTATATCTGTAAAAATAAAATGAAAATTCCGTTGTTTCTTTAGGGGTAAGGGGATATTAGACGGGCGAGGGGGAGGGGGGAATGTGTTATAGTGAGCTAAGTAGTGTAGGCCTACATACCGAAGCTGCAAAATTTGTTAAAAATACATTGGAAGCCTTTTCTAAGAGGCTATTTGTCAGCCCGTTCCCCGATCCTCCTCCCACCCCCCCCCCCCACCCAAATCCTCATCGATTGATTGGAACAACCTTACTAATTACTTTGATCTCGTGCGCATATTTCATTCCATCTCGTATCGTTGAATTAATTATAATAGCGGCTTCTATATGTTGACGCCAGCATACTTCATGACCTTCAAGGATCGAAGCCCTTTGCAACAAAAGTTTTATTGACATGGAAATTCTCTCTGTGAGTCATCACTAATATCAGACGGCTGAGCTGAACAAAGTTTTATCAATGTGATTCCAAGAGATTGTGAGTTGTGTCAATTCTAAAATGTGATTTAAAAATTGTATATTCATTTTTTTTTTCAAAAAAAAAAAAACCAACAAAAATCAAGCAAACTATTTTTAATTATTTTATTTGCCTTTAGTTTTATATCTTTTCAGACTCACATATGCACACGTTTGTATGTTTGTAACAAACATACAAACATACAAACATCACTTTAATTTAGGAAATAGTTTTTCTACCAGTGACCCAACCAAACAACCCCCCCCCCCCCCCCCCGCCCCGCCCTTTTCTTCCCCCCCAACCGCCATAAGCAGTTTAATCCAAATGACAATTCTAGTTCGACCAGGTGGAATTTTTTGACAAATCTTTCAATAGAATATATCACAAAAATAACTGAATTAAATTTTTTTTAAAAATGAATTTGGCAAATGCTGATTAAGAAAAGGGCTCTAACGCTATTCAAGGGGTACTTCGAAGATTCCAACTTCGTTCCTTTATATTGGTCATTTTATTAGTTCATGAAATATTAATTTGAGAGATTTTTTAGAAATGAGAAAGTATGAGAAATAAGCAAATTGTATCTACGCGTAGAGACCAACCGAATTTCGGCTTCGGCGCCGAAAGTGGCAATTTTATCACTTTCGGCCAAGTTTCGATTTCGGCCGAAACTGAAAAGTTAACTTTCGGCTTAATTTCGGTTTCGGCTGAAAGACAAAAGTTAACTTTCGTTTTTTTTTCGGTTTCAGCCGAAATTGACTTTGACTTTCGGCCATCTGGCCGAAATAGACTGAGGTTTTCGGTCATCCAATACTCAGCGAAAACGATATTTAACAACAAACTAAGCGATATTTATTAACAAACTAACTGATTTTTAAGAACAAATAAAGCGATCATTAACAAAAAAATGAACGATCTTTAACAACAAACTAAGCGATCTTTAACAACAAACTAAGCGATCTTTAACAACAAACTAAGCCATCTTTAAAAGCAAATTAAGCGATCTTTAAGAATAAACTAAGCGATCTTTATGAACAAACTCACCGATCTTTAAGAACAAACTAAACGATCATTAACAACAAACTAAACGATCTTTAAGACCATATTACATTATCTTTAAGAACAAACTAAGCGATCTTTAAGAACAAACTAAACGATCTTTAATATCAAATAAAGCAATCTTTAAGAACAAATTAAGCGATCTTTTAGAATCATGATCAGGACAATTTTAAGAGACCCGGTTTAAAAAAATAATTTTCACCACCATTGGGGGTGAGGGAGGTTAGTCTCGAACGAAATAATTACGTCACCAGCATGGAAAGACTAGTGCGTTGTTACTAGGTTGAATATTAATACAGTGATATCTTGCAAGCTATTAATGAAAACACAAAGCATTAGTATGACGAAAACAGCGAAACATTGTGGTGATATTTTTATAGCCTAAATAACATATATTTAGGTGGCAATTAGCTCTATAAGAGCCACAATAATTGTTGTAGGTAGATGTTCTAGGTTGTAATTATATTATAACAGCAAAGGCTCTCAAGAGTCTAATTTGCATTAATTTTTTTTAATTTTGCCCCCCCCCCCTTTTCCATTTTTTTTGGCCAAATTTTCTCCTACCATACTAATTTATTTTTTTTAAATTGTAAAACAATTTAAATTATTTTATATTAAAATGGTAAAAATCTAAAGTATTCATTAAGGGTCTCAAACTCAAATGATCAGGGGGCCCGGCGCAGGAGGTAGAGTCTGAGTGAGACTGGACCGCATCAAGTATCCCACAAAAAAGGCGATTACAACTGTTACAATCTGCTCAACCTTTAGAAATAACAATAAAAACATGAAGGGTTCTCAAGATCTAGGATTCGCTTTCCTCCACCTGCTCACTGTTGCCAGAGACCTGGCAGCGCTTCTTTTTTACACAGCTGAGCAACTTTGGCTTGAGTGAGGAAGCAACTAAGACCCTCGGTATAGCTTGAAGATCCTCATCAGTAAGTTTGGCCCCGAACTTTGACTTGTTAAAGGGCATGGTGGGAAAGAGCTTTTCCCACAGATAGGTGCTCCCAAAAAGTCACGTGATCCGCTTGAACAACATAAAAACGTCAGGGAAGGTGGAGGGCAATGCAATAAAATAAATGTCCATGCTTGTCAGTTGGCGCCGGCGCATTAACATTAAACTTTTCTTTCATGTGGCGGGCCGCAAAATATCGTCTTGCGGGTCACAAATGGCTCGCGGGCCTCGAGTTGGAGACCCCTATAGTAGATGTTTATTTATAAATATTCACGCTTATCTCATTTTTATAAAAAGAATGTAAATATTGATATTTCTCCCCCCCCCCCCAAT